AAACTATCTTTTCACAAAAAAATAATTTTAAAATATAATGAAATAAATATTCATAATAGAAATTAACTTATAGAAGCCATAAAATAAATACTAATAAATATCTTCAGAAAAGTGCACTAGCTATGTTTAAAAATATATAAATTTTTGTTGAAGGACATGGCATTCATGAACAATTTGAGGGCTATACTGTTTAAATTTATGTTTTCACTTGACTGGGCTAAGGCATGCCCAGATAGCTAGTAAAAGATTATTTCTAGGAATTCTATGAGGGTATATCTGGAAAAGATTAGCATTTGAATTGGGATACAGAGAAAAGAAGATCACCCTCACTAATGCAGGTGGGTATCAACTCATCCCTAGAACCACTTCTGGGTTTGAGGGTCATCCTTGAAATAGACATAGTTTAAAGTTGTCATAGTGTTAAATGGCTGCACAAGGACCATGTCTTAAACATTTTAGATCCTTGTCTTCATCTGTGGGAAAATTGCAAAAGTAGAGCAAGATATCAGAGTTTTATTCTAATAAATTATTTTAACAACAACAGTTATATCCATAGGAATCTTTCTACCTCCATCTGTTTCTGTTCATGGGAACCAAACTAATTTTTCTGTGGTGTCTTGCTCTAAAGTTGTGTGTGGCAAATGTGAACACATAGTAGGGCTTGGGGGAAGGGTTTGCTTCCATTTACTCATTTCTTCTCACTTCATAGCGTGTGTGTGTGTGTGTGTGTGTGTGTGTGTGTGTGTGTGTAGGGTCTAATTTCTATTGGATCAAGGAGCCATATTCATTTACTTATTTTTATTTTTTTACTTGTTTGCAGTGCTGGAGATTGGACCCAGGGCCTTGTGCATGCCAACCATGTGCTCTATGACTGCTCTATACTCCCAACAAAAAGTCAAACTTTTTTCTGTCTGTGTCACTCAGCCTACACACAGTTAATCTTAGTTCATTTTTTAAAACAGAGATAACTCAACCATTATTTAAATCCCAACTATTTTCAATGAATACCAAAGTGCTATAGAAGGAAATTTTAGCTATTTAGGTTAATATCTATTTTTCTTATTCTAACCAAGTTTTTGTAGCAGGGCTCCACTTCATTCTTTGAATATAACCCTAGCTGCTTTGCCACTGTGGCTTATTTTAAGACTCAACATTTTTTTTCTTTTTTTCCCCCTCACCCACCCCTTAACTACAGGGGAAGCAAGATTAACCTTTCTCCCAGTCTAGGTGTAGTTATCTGTCATTCTGGTCATCGACCACAGGAGTGAAGGAATCCATATTTGGGGGCTGGTACCAGCAGGTCCGAGAAATGGCTCCCTCTCAAAGCTATCCATGAATTATGACTCCTGACAGRGCACAGCTGAAGGGTGTCCTTTGGGGTCCCCTCTTTAAGAGCCCACTGTTGTGCCTGGCAGTTAGAATCACAGCCTCKGGGACAAGAGTCCCTGATATTTCTCTTTTGCTAACAAAGCAATAAAACTTCTTTTTCCTTCTTCTTAAAATCTTGTCCTAGTTATGGGATTGACATCGGGGACAAAGACCAAGCTTTTGGGATCATTTTGACAACCATAAATAGAATTTGAGAATTTTCTTTTACTGTGAATCAAGAGTATACAATTTCACTCGCTTCAGGAGATGAAAAAAAACTTATGGTCATTTACTTGGAAAATTCAGGACGTGGGATCTCTAAAACAAGACTAGGATCTCGAGTACTCAGTAAGTGGCAGCCATAGTGCTAGGCATTTTTAGTACATTGTCTTGTTTAGTTATCAGAGTAAACTTCAAAGCAGTGATATTGTTGCTATTTTACAGAAGAGACATATAACACTGTTAGTACCACAAAAGCTCTCTTCCTGTACCTTCCCAATCACTGTCACCACACACTTCTCAAAGATAACCGCTATTTTGATTTCTTACACTATGGCTTTGGCTCTTAATAAAGTGTATGTTGGGGCTGGGGTTGTGGCTCAGTAGTAGAGTGCTCGCCTCACACGTGCAAGACCCTGGGTTCAATCCTCAGCACCACATAAAAATAAATAAGTGAAATAAAGGTATTGTGTCCAACTACACCTAAAAATAAATATAAAAAATGTGTATGTAAACTTTTGTCTTTGTAGGATTCATCCACATTTCACTTCACTGAAGCTTATTTATATTGTTTTATTGTATGAATGATATCACTATGAGTATTCTCAAACATGTTCTTAGGTGAATGTATGCATAAATGTTAATAAATAATATTAATCAGAGCTGCACATTTGATGCTACCTATTCTTATTACTGTTGTTACAATTTTTTATAATTCACAAAATATATCCTTAAAGATGTTTATGATTTTCCCCACTTGCTATTGTTTGGTTTCTTCTAAACTAAATTGTAGACTCACTTTAAAAATCACTTAAATATTTAAAAAAATACTTGAGCAAGTGGACATAAATAATGTGTCAATTACTACAGTGGACCTTAGGAAGAGTCATTCTAATCAGCACAAAATCCTTTATGCTAATAAGAATGGCAAATTCTGGTAAGTAGTTTCCTTTAGGTTCAGATTTTTGACCTATTAGATAAGAGAATATTGTAGGTGTTGACTCCAGTGATGTTTCAGATATAGACTCTACAGTTCCTGTGAGCAAAACAGAATAAATCCTATGGTACAGTACAACAAGATGTATTTATTTGTAAATGATCAAATTACTGCTGATGATGGATGATAGGACGTGCCCCAGACACTATTATTCCTATGCTGAAACATATTCTGACCAATATTTTTCCTCACATACTTGAATGAAGAAATATTTAGGTTGACTTTTACAATTTGTAAATGTTTTCCCTAGATTTTCCATAGCTATAGTTACAGATACAAATTTGTTTGGTAAAGGAAATGCAAAAAGTGATGAAATATCAGTTTGCATTTGCATATTAACAAAAAAGAAGTTTATCTTGTCATCCATCTCCTCACATGCAAAACTAGGCTTCAGTATGGTAAAAAGRAAAAATATCAAGTGATGGGGCTAGGTGGATTTGTAGAAACCTTACTAAATGATCATATTCTAATACTACATTGAAGGATATGTTTACATTTACTGTATAATCTCCATTATAATCTATGAATAAATACAGTTTCTGTTTTATAAGTTTTTGTTTTAAGTCTTTTTCTTGCCAAATTGCAATTGGTGAAGACCTCTAAAATATAGATGTGGTAAGATGGTTATCATTGACTTGGTCCCAAACTCAAGAGGAATAATTTCAGTGGATCATAGACAGGTATAATGTTTACTCCAGGTTTTTGTAGGCAACATTTTATCAGAAAAAAAGAATATTTCATTATATTCCCTTTTTGCTAAGAATGTTTATTATTAATAAATGTATAATTGACCAAATTATTTTTTCCTAGGGTTTTTCCTTTAATCTGTTAGTATGTTGAATTACATTAACTAGGTCTTTTTTTTTGGTAGTGAGGATTGAACCTAGGGGCACTTGACCATTGAACTACATTCTCAGCCTTTTTTATTTTTTATTTTGGGACAGGGTCTTGCTAAATTGCAGTGGGTATCACTAAGTTGCTGAGGCTGGCTTTGAACTTGCAAGCCTCCTGCCTCATCTTCCTGAGTTGTTGAGATAATAGGCATTACTGTTTCTTTAATTTTTTTAAATTTGATTTTTTAGTTATTATTTTATTTATTTATTTATATTTATTTTATTTATTTATATGTGGTACTGAGAATCAAACCCAGTGCCTCACACGTGCCAGGCAAGTGTGCTACCATTGAGCCCCAGCTCATCATTACTGTTTCTTAAATGCTTTTCATAGTCATGAATTTCTTTCCTCTGGACATGAATCTGGCCAAAGCTATTATTCTTTCCAAAATACTCCCACATTTCTTTATTTTAATTTAGCCTTGCTGTAATAAATTCAGCTTTCTTTCTCTTTTTCTTCCTTTTTTTCTTTTTCACTGTTTCTTTGTTTTATATGAAACAATCTTCTCCCTGCCTGTTAAGGCCAAATTCAGTATCATGTCTAGGGCCAAAAAAATCTACATGTAACAAAGGGAAAAAGCAAAACTGGGGTGCACATTTAGCTGTGAATATGTTACTTTGAGATATCCAAGGAACATAGAATGAAATTAAATGTTGAAATTTGTTGAAATTACCAGTTACAGGCTTTAATTTCAAAAAAGTAGTTTCAGTTTTGGTGTCTTTTTTGCATATTGTTTGATCAATCCAAAATGTGACTTGTCAGTTTCTTCATAAATTCTAAATATCTTCAAGATCCAAGGCAAATGAACCTTTCCCCTTTCTCTCCCAGGATARTGTTTGTGAATTTTTCTGTGTTGAAGTTTCATTTTATTCTCGGTTCTAACTGTTTCCATCTGTTGTCACTATTTTATGGATTTATTAGTGCTTTCTTTTCTTGTGGTAACATATATTGCATTTGGAAAAGGTCAGACAGATAGCAGATTGTCCCAAAATGTATTGATTGCATAGCTAAATCATTTAGTTTTTTTTTCTATGAAAAATAACAAAGATATTTGGATCCAAATAGTATAGTGTTTCAGGTCAGGAGGAAAGTACAAATTAGTGAAAGGGAATCTGACCCAAATTTGCATGTTAACACACTTGATTTTAACCTTTTAAACATTGAAAGTTCAAGCCAAGGACACAGAAAGTGTTTGGTTTAGAGTTTAGCAGTTCTTTCAAAGAAACAGAAATGTTTGCATGAAGCTATGCACAACTGCATTCCATATCAGATCTTTCTGGATAAAGATCAGGATTACAATAGAAGCAGAGAAAAGGATTTTCCTTCCTTTCTTTTTTTAAATAAAAGGATTTTTTAAGCGTATGTCAGACTGCATCCAACAGCAAGCAGTTCTGATCAAGCCTGAAACTGCAATAAGAGCAACAAAGACAAAAATCAGAAATGAATGCCGTTCTTCAAAATTTTGATTGTAAATTGATCAATGAGATAAAGTATTAGAAGTTTGGATTTTTTTCCTATGGAAATGTTCACTGGATCTGGTACATTGTATCTGATATTGTTAATAGCAGAACTGGTCATTGGAATGCTGGGGAATGCATTCATTGGAGTGGTAAACTGTTTGGAATGGGTCAAGAACCGAAAGATCTCCTTAGCTGACTGCATCATCACCTGTTTGGCTGTCTCTAGATTTTGTTATCTGTTGGTGGCGTTGTTTGATTCATATACAGTAGTACTATCTCCATATTCGTATGGCCTTCATAAATTATCGATCTCTGTCACTAGACTTTGGAGTGTGATCAATTATGTTACAACCTGGTTTGCCACGAGCCTAAGCATTTTATACTTCCTCAAGATAGCCCACTTCTCCCACCCGCTTTTCCTTTGGCTGAAGTGGAGAATGAACAGAGTGGTTCTTGGACTTCTTGTATTTTCTTTGTTCATCCTGACTTATGATTTTCTATTGCTAGATAGCCTTACTGGTGTCTTACTATATGTCTATGGGATAGATARAAGTAATCTAACTTTATATTCAGATGAAAGTAAAATTCCTGGTGTTAAGAGACTAATTCTTCATGGCTTGAACTATCTGATCCCCTTTGTTCTGACTCTGGCCTCACTGCTCCTTTTATTTCTGTCCTTGGCGAGACACACCAGAAATCTGGAACTCGGCTCCATTGGCTCTGGGGATGCCAGCACCAAGGCCCACAGAAGGCCATGAAAATGGTGTTGTCTTTCCTCTTCCTCTTCATAATTCACTTGTTTTCCATGCAAGTGTCGCCTTGGCTCTATCTTGCATCTCAGAAAAGCAAGTTAATTATTTTTTTTTACATTAGCATTAAATATCTTTCCTTCAGGCCACCCATTCATTCTGATTCTGGGAAATAGCAAGCTGCAACAGACAGCMTCAAGGGTTCTGTGGCATCTTAAATGTCACCTGAAAAGAGCAAATCCCTTAGCTTTACACATACGCTTCCCAGAGTCTTTTCTGAGAAAGTAATTCCACGAGGAGCCTTCGAGGATCACTTCTACTTCTTTTTTTTCCTCTTCTTCTTCTTCTTCTTCACCCATTTAAGTATTGAACATGCCTGAACTTTTCCCTGACTAGACTGTTTTCAATGATAATAAACACACAGTGAGAAAACAGAATTTTAAAGAAATCATTTTTGTTTAGTGTAACAGGGGTTCACCTGATGCTTTGACTATATATCCTTTGTGGCTTCCAAACTTACATATTTTTCCCCCAATCYTCTTTCCTCTAAACTTCTCCTTCCTGATCTTTTCCCTGATCATTTCCTTTCTGATCTCTCCTCCCTAATCTCATTTTCTCTGAATCACCTCTATAACAGCTCCCTGTTCCTGTAGATGGGCAGAATCACAGCCTTTGGGACAGAAGTCCCCTGTGTTTCTCCTTTGCTAGCAAAGCAATAAGCCTTTTTCATTTCTCTCCAAACTGTGTCTTTGTTAATGAATTGGCATTGGAGACAAGAACTGAGCTTTCGGCAATAAATTTGGCACCCCAGATGGGACCTGAGAGCAGCTCCACTCCAGCTTTCTTTGGCAGATGTGGCTCTCCAAGCAACCCCCACTTCCATACTGAAGATAGGTGGCTGGTGAGTTTGTTGAGAGCCTACCTCTCAAGAAATTGGGATAACGTGTGAGTTTGCCTTGCACCAAACCAGAGTAGCTGTTCCTGTGAATAAAGGGAGGGATTGAGGACCCATCCCAGCAGCTGCTGAAGCTCTGTTTTGCTTCAGGGAACTCCCGCYTTCTCTCCCTGAACTACATAAGTTGYTCCACTTTGAGAAAAAGGAAGCTGAGCTCAAGAGAGTTATGACAAATTTGGCCATTCTGCAAACTCCCACAGTGTGCACACCAAGATCCTTGATTCTACACATCTGGTTCCCCTTTGTGGGAACATCTGGTCCTTCTTCATGGGGACATCTGTGGCACGGCTGGTGTAGAAGTTACAGTTAAGCAGGAATTGGGAATTTGGGATTTTCCCCCTATCTGATCTATTTGTTTTAAAGGTTCCCATCTGTTGGCCATGGTTTGGGAATTCCCTCTGSTTGTCTGTTTTGTTTGAATCTGTTACTGCCCCTTTTAAGACATGGCCAGTACTGCATTAATACTATAGTCTSTAAGGATAGATCTTGACTAATCAATTTAAAGGTTCCCATCTGTCAGCCATGGTTTTGGGGCTCCTCTCTGGTTGTCTTTGTGTTTCTTTTTTTGTACAATCTTGCAACTGGCGTTGGTCCCCGTCAGAGGTGAAGTGAGTTGAAGAAAGGGCCACCTATAAGTCTAAGATAATGTTTTACTGTAATGTTCTGGCTTTTAAATAGCTTTCTAGATTAATGTACGATCTTGCAGTTGGAGTTGGTCTGTCAAAGGTAAAGTAAGTAAAATAAATTTGTGCCTAATTGTCTGTTTGTTTTAAAGGTTCTTGTCTGCTACCCCGTGATCCTCTAGTCTGTTTTTTTTTTTTTTTTGATATGTTACTGGCCCTTTAATACACGGGCCATGCTGTGTTGAACTGACCAGTAGTCTCATAAGCAGAGGGATCTTGGCTTAATGGGCCACCTACAGGTATAAGCCTGTCTAAGAGAAAGACAGTTTATGGTAACACAAGCTGGCCTTTGAATTTTTTTTCCCTAGATTATCATACAGTCTTGAAGTTGGTCTGTCAGGGGTAAAGTATATGAAAGAGATTCTGTGTGTACAGGCCTTGATGCAGTTGMATGATAAAGGTTCTGAACCGTCAGGAACTAAGTTGAAGGTGCCAAAAGGCACTGTCTCTGGTGTGCAAGAAAAACCTGGCTTCTGCCCTGCCTTTCAGCCCCTTTGCCTGGGTGTATGGAGATTGTCACAAAGGATGTGACAGTAGGTTCTGGCACTGTCAGTTTATGACCTGGAGACAGGAATGATCTCCCCTTTTAAGATCTGGCAGGAGTCTCCATTTGGCCAGGGGATGTTCATCACTGAGGAAAAGCAATCCTTGCTATAATAGTATCCCAACCAACTAAATGCCTGGGGAGACTGGCAGAATAAACAACTGCACCCAGAAGAGAAAGACAGAAACTAAGGCCAACCTGTGTTTTGTGGGCTGCCTCTACAAAGGGATCTCAAGGAAGCCCAAGGAAAAGGATGGAAAGGGCCTCCTTCATTGCATATCAATATGCCTAGTATAAGAAAAAGCCCAAAAGGAGCCTCTGGATACAATTGACAGTGGGAGACTCGCTTCAAGTTGATAGCATTATGATAATGGTAACAGAGACAGGTCAGGCTCAAAAATATCCTGTGCTTCAACCTCTTGAATGCAACCTGGGAGGAAGAAGATTAAGGTACAGTTTTGTATATGCTGGATTATCCAATCTGCTCCTGGGATAAAATTTGTTGTGTAAATTGAATGCACAGATAACATTCATAAGGTCTGTTTCAGAATATGACTTTAAGAAACGGTCTGTAACTAGAGAGAAAGTTATAGGTATTGGAAATATATTTTAGTATGGAAAATTGGAAGGTAAAAGATACGTTTCTGGATGAGAAAGCATTTTGTCTGGTAMAGTAATGTTCTTATGCTAAATCCAAGATGAAGGAGGACAAAACTAAGGATATAAAGAAGTTGCAAATATTCAAGTATATCACAGAAGATTTGAGGAAGGTAAATCTCAAAAAGTTTGTGTTTGATTAAATTGGATACAATGCACAGTCAGTTAAAGTTCTTTGAACTTACTGATATGAAGCAAAGTCTGAAACATTGATCTGTTCTTATCTATGGATAATTTTCTTGTATTTGTTCACTTTTATTACTTGGGGAAACCAAGTCTTAAAGGAATTAGGGTTTGTCTCTGTTTTAAAGTCAGATGATTACTTTGTGACTGGTTAAACAAACAACTGTTACTTAGGTTATCACAATATAGTTGACACCCTAAATATATGTGACTAGGTATATGTATGCATCTTCGAACTGTCTAAACCTTGTCTAAGTGTTATGTAAACATTTATAAAATGAAATTTTATGTAAGTTTAAAGGCAAGATAACCAATAAGTGCTCTGTTTTATTCATCTATTTGACATAGAAGGGCCACACTGTCATTTGAAGACCTATCATATCTGTTTGCTTTGACTAAGTCAATTTCTGATCATTAACACTGTGTCCTAAATGTATAAGAGATGTAAGGCTATCCTTTGATTTTTTTTTTGTTAACCCATGAAGACCTGTGATCATTGTTTTCATACACTCTGGATTCTAAATTGTAYTTTAAAAGATAAACTTAGTTAAATGTAAAGCTTAGGAGAGCACTTTGCCAACTTGGTGCTATCCAAACTAAAATTACCTGTAGTAAAAATCTTGGATTTGTATAAAAATAACACATTTGGTATTTATTCATGTCATTTGTTTTATAGCTGGATATAATCATCTCTCAAAAAGTCATGTATACATTTTTGTGTTACTCTTCACACTGGAATTGGAATTTAAATGCATTTTTGGAAGATAATAAGGAGAGCCTGATCTTTTATAGGTGACATTGTAAACCATGGAGGTATTCTGCCACTTTTTCCACAAAAACAAAGTTAAAAGCTCTCTTGGTCTTTCTTTGATGTATCAGATGTAATTATGTATTGTGTTACTTGTGAAGAGCCTCACCTTACCTGAGGTAGGGGTCTTCCTCCCACCTTACTCCATATTAGAATGKCTCCAAAATAGGYTAGATTTCAGCTCATTTAAAGTTATGTCAAAAGATTGATTTTTGTTGTAAAGATTCCTGTGATCTCAAAGAGGGGATATAATATGTAACTAAAGTTTCCTGTGATCTCAAAGAGGGGTTATAATATGTAACTAAAGTTTCAAGAGCATAAAAGTCATTTTTCTTGATTCATAGCTATTCTTAATATGTTTTTGCTCTGTTAGTTTCATTTTGTATTTTCCTTGTAAGCTTAATATCTGTTGCCTGATAGAGGTACTCCTTCTTAAAAACAACAACAACAAACCAAAGACCAACCTGGGTTAATTTGAAATGATAAGCCATCACTACAAGACAGACAGTTTATAATGCTGACTTCTAGTACTAATATTAACCCTAATTAAATGAAAGGGGTATCTGTAAAATGATAGCTATKGAAGTTATAACCTKTTACTCCCTTTTTAAGACTGGTTAAACTGGCTTGCTGGGTATTTAAAACCAAAGACTTGGAGACCACAATTCAAGGAAGTAAAAGGGCCGAGGAAAAAGCAGCCAACATTTTGGCCCTTGCCCTCTAAGGTCAGCTGAGACTCAGAGAATKGCGGGACCCCTCTCTGGGCCCTGCAACTCTGAGTTACCTGATCAGTAGATCAGGGAGATGGAGAGGACCCCACAGAACMGGAATCCAACTAGTGCACATTCTGCAAAGAGGAGGGTCTTTGGAGATGGAAATGTCTCTGATGCTTCCAGAAGAAGCCACATATGGTCAGTTAGACCTCAACCCATCCTGGCAAGTGGCACCACAGGTAGAGGAAAGCTAAATAAGTCAGGAGGCTTTGCACATATTCCCAAGAGTGATCTCTGAGGAATCTCAGCTGACTCTTAAGAGTAGATAGGAACAAGGTCAGTTTTGACCAACTTGGTCTTAAATACCTGGCAGGAGAGTATAGCCTAAAAGCACAGTCCTACATGGACATTTGAAAGGAAAAGCAACATTTTTAAAAAAATAAATGTAACTTAAGATGTACACTTGTGTCACCTTTACTAAAAGTAAGGCTGGAGGATATAAAGGAAGGGTTCTTGTGTGAGAGTGCCTAATATTAATGATCATGAGAGTCTCAAATTTGTCCTGAGTTAATTTGAGTCTGATTTCATAGATCTACAAATATTCCTAATATTCACCAATATTCATTGATGAACTTGATATATTTTTCACTGATAAGATTATGAGTTATTGTCCTCATGGTTTTCAGATATTGGCTAAATTATGAATTGTTTTTTTGTGCTAATTATTTACAAAAAAATAATGTTT